TATACCTAATTATCTTTCTACCATTAACTCAATTATGCACAGAAGAGTGTTTTCATTAGCAAGACTTAATGCTTTATCCTTTAAGGGGTAAGTTTATGTTGGCAGGAAAGTTTAATAACCTCCCATATTCTGAATTTCTCAATCCATGTCAGGATGAGGTCATTGATGTATGTTTTGTGCCGACCCTTATACCATACTTAGCTGTCTTTTTACTGCTCCCTCTCCTTACTAAATATTGGCTTGAAATTGAGGTTATGTGCTTTTTGCTGGTGGATTTTTACTGAGATTTCTAAGAACATTGGTAAATTCTATTTAGTTGTGATTGCTGAAGGCACTGGGTATGAATTATGCTCAGGCTTGGATAGTCTCGCTACTTAGGCTTTACACAGAAGATAACCAGTATTTAATGCTTGTCACTAACTTTTGTTCTTCTACTATGTTAAATTTCTCACCTTATTCTATTACCTTATACCATATCACTGCTTTCCTTTTTGATCTTCAGCTGTGGACCAAATACTCACATAAAAATAAGAGCTTCCAAATGTCTTAGTAAACAGCTCTATTTATTTTTATATGAGAATGGCTTAGGGGAAATGTAAGCTTCTAAATTGGTGTCAATTTCGCTCTTGTGGGCACTTGGCGCAGTGGATTGCAACTGAGTATATTGCTAATGACAAATTTCTCTGGAAACTAGGCGGTTTTAGCTTAGGTTCAGTAGTAGAAGAATATGAACTAAGATATGTAGTCAGCTAAAACTAAACCATTTATTTATTGCTGTAGTATAATCTCATTTTCCCATAAATATTAAATGGAATATAGTTGAACTTTAATGCCTTGCATAAATACTTGAAATATAGTAATTAATACTGAGTATTGTTTAGTAGGGTTGTCCTTTTAATCTTTCTCCATGATTTAATAAGTATGGCTTTGGGATTAGAAAGAAAGTTGTCTGGCCCTGATGTACTTTTGTATCTTCTGAAAGAACCCTCCTCTACTTAACAATTACCTTGAGTATCTCTGTTTGTTTTTATACAGACATAAGTGAATTATCTCTATTCTTATTGAGGTCAATATGGCGTAGTAGTTAAAATGTTAAACAAAGAGTTACTATTGTCTCTATCTTTTAATTTACTGTATAGGGTTGTAGTGAAGATAAAATGGAAGGGTGTATGAGGCCATAAGTATCACCTTTTCTTCCTGGAGAAAATGTATGTAAATGAAATAAATAAATAAAACCATTGAACAATTGCCTCTCCCTCATGTGCATATTTCCTCCTGTCCATGAGGTGACACAAAAGTATGTCAGCCTAATTTGCTCTGTCCCAAGAGCCAACATCTATTCTGTCTCTGTAATGAGGTTGGCAAGTTGTGTTATCCTAACATCTTTATCTTTTATCTTTTATTGTTTTTATTGTAATTTCTTTGATTGTTTTGAGTCACCTAGAGTCATTGAGAGTTGAGAGTAGCATACAAGATGATGATGATGATGATGAAATGGATGACAAGTTATTTTCTGCTGGCAGGAGAAATATTGAACGGTTGTTCTTTCTGATATGGGGAGATGTTGGCTTGAGGTGAGTTTTGACAGACAGAACAGCCAACTCTGTGAGGTGGATCGTGGCTTTCTGCCCCTCCTGTTTTACTGGGAGACCCATGGTCACCCCACAAATCAGGCCATGATTTATCTCTCTCTCACTCTTTCACTGTCTCTCCCTGCCTTGGTCTTTCCTACTCATTTTTCTTTCATGCTCCCCTTCTCATGCTTGGCTTTCTCCCTTGCTTGCTCTCCTGCTTTCTCTCACTCTTGCATGTATTTGCTTACTAGGCTGTATCTTGTGCTTACTTGATTTTCTCTCCTTCAGCTCTTATCTTCACTTATCATTCTTTTGCTTTCTCATCGCCTGCTCTATTTCGCTCTCTCTCTCTCTCTCTCTGGTGTCCCCTGTCTTGCTTGCTCATCTTATAGATATATCCTTCTCTTGCTCTTTGTTGTGCTTTCTCTCCCTCCCTTGCCCACTTGCTCTGTCAAAGAGTAACTGTTGGGAGAGGCTGTGGCTAAGTGGCAGCAGGTGGGCATGCCCACTTTAGCCAGCCCTGCTCCACAATACAGGCTACCTGTCTGTTGGGGTATTTGTCCATCTATATGGATAAGGAGCCCATGCAACACCTGCCAGTCACCTGTGATTGGACGTCAAAAAGCAACTTGTAGAGGCTTGGATTTGGGCCACATCATTCCCATGGTCTCTGCTGAAAGGCTACAAATCATGCATATAGCAAGGCTTGTGTCAGGAGAAGATGCACATCATCATTAACATTGAATCAGATGCGTGAAGTTAGGTGGCCGCAGTCATGGCCAGGGAAGAAATGAAGACTGTGTCATGGGGATGTCTCCTTAAAGGATAGTTACTTAGTTACTCATTTACATGGATTTAAAAATGCCCAGTGACTCTGTGCATTGGAAGTTTGGGGGCCAAGAGCCCTAAAAGGGACCTGGGATGCAAAATCAAGACAGCTGCTCATTTTGTAAAAAATCATATTGAGTATTAGATTATTCAAGCCTATTCATAAACAAAATGCCCTATATAAGTAGTGAAAAATATCAGTGCAGGCTTATTGCCTTGATGATACCCACTTTAGCCAGCCCTGCTCCACCATACAAGCTACCCTTAGTGTTTGAGCATAAGCCAATTTAGTCTTGTTTTGGTCAGTCTTCCCCATATTAGTTTACTGTTGAGTGTCTTGTGCCGCTTAGTTCCAAAAATGACACAAAGACAGAAGAATGCTTTGAGGAATATAGGGCTCAGATATACTGATGAATACATAAGAGGATCCATTTAAACATAAAACTTTCAGAACAAAATGTGTAAGTGATGATAAACAAAAACACCAGAAGGAGGAAAATAAAGAGAGGATGATCTTAATATTTTGTATTCAAGGATTCCCCTTCCTAATTACCTTCATAACCACAATGTTCTCATGTGAATTCTGATTCAACAGTATAAACTGAAAACAGGTTTTGGAGTAGGTCAATGTCTAAACCATGGTTTTCACATTGTTAAATTAACACATGGGTCCTGCTTTAGATAGAAGTTTCAGAATATTTGAACACAGAACAAAGCCTAGTTGCCCTACTTCTGAAAAGTTTAGAGCTTTCTGGTCTAGTATTATGATTGAATTAGCATAATGTTACAGTTAAATTAGATTGATCACAGATGAGTTGTTCAGTGTCGTTGAAACAACTTTTCTTGTTTAACAAATCTGTTTGAAAGAAAATAAAAGAAAACCATTCTTACATAGCAAGTGGAGTGATATAATATCTGGAATCCTTTGTTTTAGATAATTTCCAATGATTGTTTCCAGAAAAACATATATAAACGGTTCTCAGGCATTCACCTCCATTGACTGATCTTGCTGAACCTTGAGTGTTTGGAGTGGGCTTTTCTTCACATGTTTTGCATTCTTGACTTTTGAAACTGATTAGGTTTACTATTTAGCGTGACTTGGATTAAACCCTCTCAACTGTTAACTTTCCTAAGGAAGACTGTAAGATGAAAGAATATAAATATATTCCTGGCTTTAAGAAGACCAAGTGGAAGAAATCTAGGTGGTATATGGCTGGAAGCCAAAAACATATTAAACATTTAGAAATAATAACTAGTATTTATTTTCATAGTTTGTGGAACTATTAATATTATAAAGAATACATAGTGTCACACTAATATCAGACCTTTTCTCTTTTGTCTCCTATTGCTTAGTGATGCTATATGCTTTGAGTCCATAGGTAGACCATAGGTAGGTGAGCTTAGTGGTAATTTGGATTATAGTTCTGATCTGTTGCATATCCTGTCCTAATGTGGATTGCATTCTGCTCTTGGATTACTAGAATTACTTTGCTGTTTTTCATCACTCTTGATGGCCAACCTTATTGGACAAACCCCTCCCCCATGTCTCACATAGTGACGGGGAATCTTTATTCATGTGATTGAAAATGTCACCTAGAAAGGCCAAGTTTCCAGAACCACAATTTGAGAAAGGTGCTTCTAATTATTATTAGATATGTTACTTCACAAAATTTATGTAAAGTATTGATATCTAAATCTGTATATACTACCACTATTGCCATGCTGTCAGCTAGAGCTTAGCTATGCATAAACCTTCAAATTGTCCCCAAGGGAAAAAAAATTAGGACCAAGATAAGATACAGAATAAGGATTCTCAATCTTTGTTAACTAATAGGCACATTTGACATTTTGAAAAGATGTGGACACTTTTGCAAATTGTGTGCGATTGTAATGATATGTGGGAATGACTTTGGGAGACAGGAGGAAGAGCTGCAGCCTGGACAATGGTCTGATAAAATTTGAGTCCGAAGGAGAAGGGGTAGCAAAAGGGTCTCAGAAGGGGCCCTGCCTAGTTTCTGAGAGAGTAAAAGTAAAGGAGGGGAGGGGTACTTTCAAGCTTGCAAGATTCTGTTAATGTAACCTTACAATAAAGTTAGAGCTAGTACTCCTTGTTATGCTTCTTGTCTGGAGTACTTCGCTAGGTTAACAGTGGTTGAGGACGCTACCAGTTATACAATACTTATTTCCCTATATATGTGACTGTCTGTTACTCTGGTTTATCTTTGTCTACTGTTTAGGTAGATAAATATACTTCTGTACAAACCATTAGACTATAATAATTCATCTTTTTTATTTTCTAAGAAGGCTTATGGGACTCAGAAATATGATTAGAAATAAAGATGAAGTTGAAGGCCGACATTTTTATTTTCAGCATGTCAGCTTCCCATTTCTTACAGTTAAAAGAATGTTTTAAAAATATAGGAAAGGCAGGTGGAAGAGGGAGCTGATGGACACCAGGGAAGGTACCCACAGAAGTATTGGTGCCCTTAGCAGTTATGTTGGGGACCAAGGATAAAGGATAATGGATTAAGAATGATTAAAATTATTTAACTTATTTAAAACATACAATTTATTTATGAGTTCATCTTTTTCTTCAAGGATGATGAAGTCCTCTTTACATGCAGAAGAGGATGATTTTGTGCCTGAGCTTCAAAGAAGTATTCATCCCCGTGAAAGACCAGATTGGGAAGAGACCCTCAATGCAATGGTAAAGCATTATTGTTACTATTAACAATATTATTTTATACATTCTGCTTCTAGTTACTTAAATAAGTAGATCTGTGGAGTTTTAAAAATGCACTGATTACTTGATAAACTTGAAAATAATAAAAATCATTCCATCTTTGAATGTATTCCGTATGTAAGGGAAGATGAAGATGTGCCTGCTGAGTGTGTTCCATTAAATCATATCATAGATAGCATAGCTTGTGATTATTTATGGTCCATAATTTATAGTGGTTCTCAGTCTTCATTAATTTCTCCTTCATCGAGGATCCACAATATGTGATCCCTCTCCTTGAGGAAATTAATCTTATAAACATAAATATTATTAGCATTATAATAATCTGGTCTGGAAAATGCTAACAACATGAATATACAGGTAGTCCTCATTTAGTGACCACAATTGGGAGCAGCAACTCCATTGCCAAGCAAAGGGGTCACTAAGTGGGAAATCACTACAACTGTGCTTTCTGGCTCGAAACTGATAAGACTAATCAGTTTCACATCTTCGGCTTTTGTTTGCCTCCTAACCACTCCCCTGCCCTTTGGAATACTCACCCTGGCTCTGGGATAATTAACAAGAAGGAAATTATTACTTGTATTTACATTCATTGGAGAAGAAGGGATTACAAGAGAGTAAACAGTCACACAATGGGGAATACACATCGAAAGCAATGTGCTGGCACTGGCAGCTGCAAGCACACTACACAAACACCTTGGTGTATCCCCCATTGTGTGCCTGCTTACTCTCTTGTAATCCCCTCCTCTCCAATCTCTTTGCTCTGCAATGGGGGGAAAAAGAATAACAACAGGTCAGGCACAGGACAATGTATACTGACTGTAATGGCAATCTTGTGACTGAGGGACAGCACCATTGTAATTTTGAACGACCACTGAATGAGGCAGTCAGTAAGTGAGGACTACCTGTAGTATGTTCCCCCTCCACGCGTTTCAAGGATTCTTTTAAAAACTCACCAATTAAAAAAATATATTTTTTAAAGTTAGTCCTGGAACATTTTCTCCGTCATATATAAAATTTACAAGTAGCCCAAGGAATGGAAAAATGAGGTCCCTCCCCAGTTCTTTCATTTTCTCTTTTTTTTTTTCTCCTCTGGGTTGAAGAAGGAATAGGAGAACATTGGTTCTGCTTGCTTCCCACAATAATTATTGCTTCAGCTTTCTCCTTGGACTTGGTGGTAAAGACTTAAACTGCTTCCTGCTTTTATCCCGCCATCAGTATATTCAAATATGGATGAACATTGGCTCAATAATTCTGGCTTTTTCTGAGAAATGTAGTTTCTGTCTGATGTGTTGCACCCTGAAGGGGATGTGCATATTGGCATAAGAACGATTCTTATCTTTTTGTATTAAATTGAGAAATGATAATTAGAATATTTATTTATTTTTTAGATTTACTGCCCACCTTTGCTCCAGGAACTCAAGGAAGCATACATACCTCTCTGTTCACCAGTTTCCCACCACATTGTGATTTAGATTAGGTTGAAAGAGAGTGATTGACCCCAAATCACCTAGTAACTATTCGTGGCTGAGGGTGAATTTGAACCTGGGTCTCCCTAGTGTGTGTGTGTGTGTACATACCACACACGCATATATTATGTCTGCATGTGAGCATCCATAATATTGTGAAGGGGTGCATGCCATGTAAAAAATTGCTCACCTATGCTATACTGCCTCTGAATGTAGAAGTGTTTTCAGTGGGTAGATCTTATTATTTATTTCAAATCTGTAAAAGATAAGTTTTGTGTCTTTGTGTGGGGAAGGAAGACTTTTTAAAATGATTAAATTATTATCACCCTCTGGGGGAGATGGGCAGCATACAAATTTAATAAATAAATAAATAAAGCTATAATTATATTGTGGATTAATTGGAGTAATATGAATATTAGTTGGGAGGCATATATACTTATTTAGCTCCTATTAATGCAGAATAACACTGCCAACTGTGATGCAATGTGAGGGTGGCCTTGGAAGACAGGGGGAAGAGATGCCACCTAGGGAACAATCAAATAAAAGAGAAAGGAGTCCACAACAGGGTAACGGTCAAAGAAAGAAACTTAGGAAGGACTGGCCCTAACTACTCAGGGAGGTATTCTCTTGCCAGAGCCTGTTAATGTAGCCGTACAATAAAGTAGAATTAGTTCATCTAGTCTTGTTTCCTGTCTGGTTTACCTGGGAGGGCTGACATCAACCGTTATTGTAGTGATTGCTTAAGGAGCACCTCTCTGGCTAACCTTGTCTAGGCTTGGGTTTTGTACTTGGACAAGAAACACCAAAGCATTACCGGGTTGTCGAGATGATTGGGAAAAAGGCACTGCAAACCACTTCCTGTTGTTGCCAAGAAAACTGCATGATTGTGTCCATACAGTTGCAAAGAGTCAAGCTTGACTTCAGGACATTTTTACTTTTAAGAAACATCTGCATTTCTTTTCTTACAATGCTGTCGCCTTTTCTGTGCTTTTGTTACTCAGTGATCATTAGGGGAACCCCAGGAGGACTTTGCAGTTTTTCATAGTGAGTCAATTCTTAATTGGTTTAATAGCCAAACATTTTCTGTTCAGATCTTTTCATAGTATTATGAGGCTGTTGTGCTTTTTTGGGGGTTGATAATTAAATGGCTATTAAGTACATTTTTGGTCCTCTTATTTGAATATGGACACTTTTGTAATTGAACTACTATGTCTTCATTGCAATTTTGTTCTTCTGATCTACTATCTGTTGTGTGTTATTTTTGTTTGTGCTGCACTGGGAACTTTTTTTGCAGAAGTGGTGTCAGAGTAACAATGTTTTCTTCTTCAGGAAGTCTGTATTGAATACAAATTTTGCACTACTTCAAAGAAGCATTACGTTGTCATTAATAGAAAGTACCAAAAGTTATTTGCTTGAAGTTGCTTTTTTATGATGTACATTAAATGCATAATTAAATTTTTGGAAATACTTTGTTTTCCTGAAATACCACCTTCGGTGTTTGATTTATCAGATCTGTTAGTATTAATTTAGTGAATATTACTCTCAAGTCTTTGTTTCTTCTAGCTTGAAATCTGCAAGTTGCTGAATACCATAAATATGGAATATATGACAGTTATTCAGTGAAGGAGTAGTAATCCCTACATTTTAAGCCAGATGTTTCCAACCTAGTGCCTCTAGATGGCTGAGTATGAAGGCAGTTGAGTCCAACACATCTGATAGGCACTAATTCCTCTTTATATTAACCAATGCTCGTTAATCCTGAGTATTAAGTTGCCATTTGTATGTAAAAAAGAATGGGATACTTATTCAAGTAGCAATTTTTTTCAGAAAGTTAAGATAGGTGTTCCTGGTAAAACTGCCAAAATCAAGCATATTTAAATTAACATTCTGAACTAAATAAATGCGGGATGGGTCATTGTGAAAGGTGTCAAATTGAGGAAGTCCTTTCTGCTGCAGCAAAATTATAGGTTATCTATTAGCTTGCCATTCTGCTCTGTTATATTTTGTAAAAGGCAGCCTGATGTGAAAATTGGTTCAGTGGTTACCTGTAAACAAATCATGGTTGGATGATTGGTAATGGGAAGGAGCCAACAGATGTTTTCTCACTAATTAAGCTGTTCTGCAGTTGTAACCATCAAATGACTTTCAGACTGTCACCATCTCTCAGACTAAAATATTTCACAAGATTGCAGAGTAGGGAGAATTGGGTACTTTGCAGGTAAGGAGAGGAAGGTGTAACGTAATGGGTAGAAGAGGTTTCCACCAGCACAGAAGATGTTATGCTTACTATACTGGGTCAGATTATAGGTCAGTGGAGTTGGACTGTTCATTGTAAACACCTTGAAACAGATGATCAAAGACAAGGAACATTGGTTACCTTTTATTTTTTCTGCGTTCATTGTTTTTGTTTTATATTTAGGTAATTGTGCTGAGGAACAGTTCTGTTCTACTAATATCAGTGCAGAATGTGGAAGTCCTCATCCATTTCAGCTTTGATTTCCAAACAGAATCTTTGTTGATGAAACATATCATGCTTTTTTCATTTATTTTAGTTCAACTTTTACTTTTTTCACTCCATACAGCCACCTGCCAACTGAGAATTACAATCTAGCTGGGTTCATACATGCTAAGTGAGGCTAGAAAGGTTGGATAGGTTGCAGTTCGGCGTATTGGGAGAATTCAACCATTGTCTCAGTCAATATGTCAGCCCATAACATTAAACATTTATTTATTTGTTCATAAGACTTCATCATGTGATTCTGGGTGGCAAATAACAATCTGACATAATAGCAAAAATAAGAACAGAGTAAAAAAAATAACAATAGCCAATATAATGCCATACCACTGAGGTCTGATTCAGAACACCTCCAGACATAGAAATTATCATACAAACCAAGCTTGCTGAATATTTGGATCCATGGCTTGGGGAAACACCCAGATGTTTAAAAAGGTTTGTGAAAAGCTAACAGGGTTGGAGTTATCTAGATTTTAGGGGAACTTGCTCCATAAGGCAGGCACTGTGAGAGAGAAGGCACATCTCCTGGGTCCTGCTTCACAGAGAGGACCTAGAGCATTCCCACTTGGTCAGATTTGGTGGGACGAGCAGAAACAATTGGAAACAGGCAGTCCTGCAAATAATCTGGACCCGTGCCTGTAATGCGTGGGCACAGCATGTCATGAATACAGCATTGTGTTTTGTTAATTTAGATTTAGCATGCTATGTATATGAAGCCTCAATATATACAATGGAGTTCTGATCCAAAACTCCTATCATAGTCTTGTTAGTCTTCTAGATACTAAGATACCCTAGTTTTCTGCTGCAGTGGGAGAACATACTTTACCTCTAGAAACTCACCCAGTTGATAAATATCAACAAGGAGGAGTGTTAGAAACTGGATATCCTTTTCAAATGGAGATATGATGCCTTTTAAATCAAATGTTAGTGCTGGAAATCTTCCTAGAGTCTTTTTTTTTTTTTTTAATTTAATGAACTCAGGA